CAGTGCACTGTCTCTCTGGGGTCTTACGGCAGGGACGGTCACCGCCCCCCCCAGCATAGCTCAGTGCACTGTCTCTCTGGGGTCTTACGGCAGGGACGGTCACCGCCCCCCCAGCATAGCTCAGTGCACTGTCTCTCTGGGGTCTTACAGCAGGGACGGTCACCGCCCCCCCCAGCATAGCTCCCTCCCTCCCCGTCGCTGGCTTGGAGTCCGGCTCACAGAACAGATGGATATGTGATTAGCTCTGTCCTGGTTGTGTGGTTGGAGGACACAGGCCACATGTCCTGTGTGTGACCTTGTGGCTGTTGTGCCCCCCCCCCATATGGACACAGCACCACTGAGGGTTTGTGGTTAGGGTGACTTTTTCCTGTACCCCCCCAGCTCAGATTGAGCATGAGCCCTTACATTCCAGCCCCTCACCCAGCTGAGATTGAGTGTGAGCCCCTAATTTCCTGCCCCCCCAGCTCAGATTGAGTATGACCCTGCCCTGCCCACGGAGAGACAGAGGCTCACGCAGAACATGCCAGTGGGTCACATGATCAAGTTCATCGTCACCTACTCCACAGTAAGTGAAACATACTGCTGGATTACTGGGTATTTGCATTTGTGTGTGAAAGCAGATGATTGTGTGTGCAAGTAAATGACAATCATGTGTTAGATATAGCCCATCCATACATTCTTTGATCTGGATCCTTTCCTGTATATCCAACCAGCCCTCCGTGTCCCGTGTCTCGTGTTGGTGCCCACACAGCTCTCCGTGTCCCGTGTCTCGTGTTGGTGCCCACACAGCCCTCCGTGTCCCGTGTCTCGTGTTGGTGCCCACACAGCCCTCCGTGTCCCGTGTCTCGTGTTGGTGCCCACACAGCCCTCCGTGTCCCGTGTCTCGTGTTGGTGCCCACATAGCCCTCCGTGTCCCGTGTCTCGTGTTGGTGCCCACACAGCCCTCCGTGTACTGTTACCCTTGTCTGTGCACATTCTGCACTCCGTGTCCTCTGTTCTGTGTCTATGCCCACACGGTTCTCTGCCCCTGTTTTTGTCCTTCTCTCACAGGCATTCTGGCGAGTGAAAGGCTTCTCTGGAGAGATGGTGGTCCAGCCTTCAGAAGATTGTCCCATCTGCGTTACGTACGACTGCACCAGCCCCCACGGAAACCCCGCTCTGGTGGGCTTTATTGCGGGCAAGCAGGCCGCTGATTGGAGCCATCGAGCGGTGAGCAAAAAGGGCACCCCCTTTAGGGAATAAAAAGTATGGGCACTGCTAGGGGACAGATGTAAGAGTGTCTGTGGATCTCGTGGGCGGACTCACACTCCTCGGTGCCTAAATGGGGCTGACAGCTCCAGCAGGCTTGACTTGACTTGACAGCAGCGATCTCTGCCACGCGTTGCCTCCCTCGCCTGCGGGGACACCGCTGCCTGTTGGCGATACAAAGGGAGCGTGTTCCCTGCCGCCGGGGGGGGGGGGGTTTCCTAGAAACGGGAAAGTGCGAGGCTGACAAACCGCTGGCACTCTGTAGCTGGCATCAAGAGGTCCAGCAGAGCTCAAATAATTATGGGCTTTGGGTTTGGGCACAGGTTGGTGTAGTAGGGGAGACTTGACCGGGGGTTTGCAGGATTTAAGCTGAGGTGCCTAAACCGACTCTAATCTGATTATAAGATACCTTTCAGAAATAGTGTCACCCTGCACTGACCTGTCCTCGTGGGGGGGTCACCCTGCGCTGACCTGTCCTCGTGGGGGGGTCACCCTGCGCTGACGTGTCCTCGTGGGGGGGGTCACCCTGCGCTGACGTGTCCTCGTGGGGGGGTCACCCTGGATGTGTGTGCGTTAATGTAAACATGTACGTGTGATTACATGGTCATGCACTCAAGTACGCCTTGAGGGTTTTTTTCCTGAATGAGAGTTTATTCCATGGGAGATTTAAAATGTTGTCATGAAATGTTGTCATGAAATGTTGTCATGAACAGGATTTTTTAGTTGCATTAGTGTCAGTCTGCATTTCAGTTAAAATAATACATACGTCTTTTAAGTATTAACACCACAAACAAAGTGGATGTTTGTCGGGGAGGTGAATGATGGAGCTTTTGACTTTCAGGTGGAGGACAGGAGGGAGGCGGTGATCCGAAGCCTGGCTAGATATCTGGGGCCAGAGGCTTCTCATTTCATTCACTATGCAGAGAAGGTACGGCTTTGAGTCTGCCAGCTTCAGTAGGGCACTCTGAGGCGCCCTCCAACCCAGACAGCAAGCACTGCTTACCCCTCACCCCGCCGTATCCTGGGGGGCTCCGTATTCCTACAAAAAGCTCCTTAAACAACGGACTCCTTGTAGTCTGTCTCTGGTGTCGATCGTTATCTGGGGTGAAAACACAGGCAGGATTGACGACATGACAGGCTGGCCTGACAGCGGCCATCCCGGTCTCAGCTTCAGCTTGGCCTGACAGCGGCCATCCCGGTCTGAGCTTCAGCTTGCTGCCTCTGCTGTCAGAGAGATTGGCGAGCTCTGGGGCCACGTCCAGGGAGCCCAGCGCTGTGATGAGTGGCCCGGGGGGGAGGGGGGGGCGTCTAAATGACGAGGGGCGGGGAAGAGATGTTCTGGACAAAGCACCTAATAATTCAAGAGAACGCATGGAGAGAGGGAGAGCGAGACAGAGGGAGTGTGCTCGGTCAAAGCGTGAATTCTAAGTGGGGGGAGAGTGGTGCGGTCATTTAGCATTTCTTTCCTTCACGCCTTCTCGGCACTGTGGATGACAGTGTGTTTGATTCATAAAAGCCCCCCCTGAGAAGCCGGCCACCATGCTGTCTTTGGTTTAGCTCCATCCTAGTGTCTGGGATTTTTCATTAACGACTCATTTTCGTCGTCTTTAACGGTAATATTTTATCCCCCATGTGACTTTTTATTCATTAGAAACGCCACTGCAAATATATCAGTAGGGAGGGCCCTGTGCCTTTGCTGATGTGATCTGTGATAGAGACATACGAGCTGCCCTAGAAGGCGAGGAGTTCCCTATGAATATCGCTTTATTTATTTCCTTTAACGTTTGCTGCGACTGAAAGCTTCTGAGTGGATTGAAATGCTCCATCACAGAAATCAAAGGGCAGATATCAAACGCTGTTCTGATTTTTTTTTCCAAGAAGATTAATATTCCCTATTAGATCAATGGTGGCTGTCTTTGTGGCTTTCTGCTCTTTCCTCTTTTATGGACCCCCAGACCGGCCACGTGACATCCTGGATTCTGTTTACTGCACTGTTTGTCTGTTTTATTTTCTGTACTCGTTGATTTAATGGTCCGTTCGTAGAGATGTAATGTAATAATTGCTTTTAACTCATTGTTTGATGCTTGCAGGACTGGGCCAAAGAGGATTACAGTGGAGGGTGTCCAGTCAATGTCATGATGCCTGGGATGCTGACGTACTACCAGCCCAGCCTTCGTAGGCCATGTGGCAGGTAAACAGACTAAATGAGATTCAAGGTGCAAAGTGTATGGATTGGGTAAAAAGGACAGGGGCGCTGTTCATGCGGAGGGAATGTGGGCCTTTTACAATGATGATGTAGGTCATGCAGAGGGATTGTGGGATTTTTACAGCGATACAGGCCATGCTGAGGGAACATAGGCCTTTTACAGTGATACAGGCCACTCAGAGGGAATGTGGGCCTTGTACAGTAATACAGGCCATGCTGAGGGAACGTGGGCCTTTTATAGTGATACAGGCCATGTGGAGGGAATGTGGGCCTTCTATAGTGATACAGGCCTTATGGAGGGAATGTGGGCCTTTTATAATGATACAGGCCGTGCAGAGAGAACATGGGCCTTTTACAGCGATACAGATCATGTGGAGGGAATATGGGCCTTTTACCATAATACAGACCATCTTGAAGGAAGGTGGGCCTTTTACAGTGATACTAGTCATGTGGAGGGAACATGGGTCTTTTACTGTGATACAAGCCATGTGGAGGGACCATGGGCCTTTTACAGTGATACAGGCCATGCAGAGGGAACACGGGCCTTTTGCAGTGATATAGGTCATGCAGAGGGAACACAGACCTTTTACAGTGATACAGGCCATGCAGTGGGAACATGAGCCTTTTACAGGGATACAGGCCATGCAGTGGGAACACAGGCCTTTTACAGGGATACAGGCCATGCAGTGGGAACACGGGCCTATTACAGTGATACAGGCCATGCAAAGGGAACATGGGCCTTTTACAGGGATATGTATCCTGCACCATAATTGACCTGGCAGATCCCCCAGACTAGCTACCACACCTACTCCATCTTAGCCTGCGTTCCTCATGAACAAGCAGGGAAATTATGACGTGTGGAGAGTTTTGTTTGGAAAGGTGGCCTGCCCCTGTCTTTTCTTTCTGTCGTTCCCCCCGTGGTCCTGTGTGTCAGCACGCCCAGCTCATTACACAAACTACGGAGGCCTCCGCAGTCATGTGACAGTACACAGTAGATGCAGTCTGGTGTGCAGGTGACGGGAGTGACGTTGGAGTGGGATTTACACCATTTTGATCAATGGCAGAGCCATCATCCATGTTTCCTGTCACATGGCGTGATGTCAGATCCTGGCACCAGCCTCCATTTTTCATTTGGACGCCTGCACCTCATGTCCCGAAAGTATTTAAATATGCAGACCGAAGCCGATTTGGAGGATGGCTGGGGCTTTATTTATGAGGACACGGGGGGGCATTAGGGTGAGCGCAGCACCCCCACTCCTACTGAACGACAAGGCGGCATCGTAAACTCTCCTTTTCTGTGACAGGTTTGATTTTTTATCTCTATATTTATGACATGAACACTGAGGTCACGGTAAATAAGTTAGTAATTTGAGCTAAAACGATTATTTCCCGTTGCTATGCAACCAGGTCTTGTGGGGCGACTCCGCTGGCTGCCGAGTGGGGGGTCCTTTACCCCTCCCTTTCTCTGCAGTTATAGGCCCCAGGCGGACTCTGGCCCTTAATCTTCATTTTAAGAACCGTTCAGAACTCCAAGCCCGAGAAACGTGTTGACCCTAATTACTGGCAGTTACTTGTCTATGTCTCCTTCCCATCAGTGCATGTCATTGTTTACGAATCTTGGATTCTTTTCTTTTTCTTTTCCCCCAGTGTCCTAAAATGAATATAGGACTGAATTATTAATTCATACTAACGGAGCTGATTACTATTTTGTATGAATCTTCATGGTCCAAAATCGGCCGGCTCATGTGCTGAACTTCCTCTAACATTCTCTGTATCTCGTTACTGCTGGATGAAACACTGACACACACACAAACACAAGTTTAATTTTCTTCTTCCTGCACACAGACCCAATAGCGATTTTAATCCAGAACCATCTGCAAAAAACATACCAAAGTGCTTGTTAATTGCCAGGTCAGGCCCGTGAAACCGTTTTAAGATGCCGCTCGGCGTTCTGCCCAGGAGAGGGCGCTAGGGAGTCCGCAGTGTGCTCAGGGTTTCAGGACCTGTGGCCTGGGTGAGCTGCCTGTAGAAGATGCTCTCCTCCATCCTGCCCCTGCCTAAATGCAATATCTGCTTGCAGGATCTACTGGGCAGGCACTGAGAGCGCCACCTGCTGGTGCGGATACATGAATGGCGCCATCCAGTCGGGCCAGCGAGCTGCTCTGGAGGTACTGGAGCGACTGTCACCTCAGCTGCTGTCCCAGGACGAGCTGATTGAGGCCCGGGCCTCCGCTGCCAGCCCCCCCCGTAGCCGGGGGCTTCCCCCTCCTTGGTGCAGACGTCCTGTTTGTTTTGCCGCGGCTGTAGTAGCTCTGGGAGCTGCCCTCTTACTGGCTCGGCACGGTGGGTGGCACGCAGCGATTGGCCGGGTCTCCGCCTTCCTGCAGAGTGTTGGCTCGGCTCAGCTCTTGAACGGGTTGAAGAGATGAAGGCGGCCAAGCTGGCAGTTTCAGATGTGTGGTAGAAGGTGCCGCAAGGCTCCACTACGGGGCATAGCTTAGGAGGGGTTCTTATAGCACCTCTCTGCCCCAAGGTAAAAACAGTGTAAAATAATCATGAGTCTGTAGTTTAGTTTGTCTTGTAAGAAGGAAAGAGCAAAGGAAAGCACCACTGGGCAGATTGTTCGTGCTCTTATATAAATAAAGCTCTTATAACCTTTGATTTGTTTCCCCTGTAATTGCATGTACCTCAACGATAAATATGACCTGGATGGGGGGGTGATACTGTTCTCTCACTGGCCTCCTTTGGGATCTTCTAAGTGCCACATTACAGCCCTCATACAGGGACAGCCCTCACACACACAGGGCCCTCATACAGGGACAGCCCTCACACACACAGGGCCCTCATACAGGGACAGCCCTCACACACACAGGGCCCTCATACAGGGACAGCCCTCGCACACACAGGGCCCTCATACAGGGACAGCCCTCGCACACACAGGGCCAAGAGGGGGTGACACAGGGGAGTATATTAATGAAAGGCAGCTATGCTGTGATAGGCCTGTTTTCCGGGTATTGAAATGTCCCTATAACTCATCTCTGTTATAACAGAAGAAACCTGAAGCCAATACAAGCCGAAGGGTATCAGCCAAGCTGTTTGCATGATTTTTATAGACCAAATTGTACACTGTGCCGGGATTTCAATTTGCTGATATGTATCCTATTAAAATGCTTATTTTGGCACATGATTTTTAGAACAGAATGTGATTTCTGGGAAATTCTGTTGTGTTACTTTCACGGAGCGTGGATGAGTCAAGAGTATTTGAAACAGATTTCGATGTTAACTAGTGTGAAGCAGCACGTGAGCATTAACCAGGGTGAAACAGCATGTGATCGTTAACCAGTGTGAAGCAGTAAGTGGGCGTTAACCAGCGTGAAGCAGAATGTGATCATTAACCAGGGTGAAGCAGCATGTGAGTGTTAACCAGTGTGAAGCAGTAAGTGGGCGTTAACCAGCGCGAAGCAGAATGTGATCATTAACCAGGGTGAAACAGCATGTGAGCGTTAACCAGGGTGAAACAGCCCATGGGCGCTAACCAGGGTGAAGCAGCACGTGGGGGTTAACCAGCGTTAAGCAGAGTGTGGGCGTTAACCAGGGTGAAACAGAATATGGGCGTTAACCAGGGTGAAGCAGCACGTGGGGGTTAACCAGCGTTAAGCAGAGTGTGGGCGTTAACCAGGGTGAAACAGAATATGGACGTTAACCAGGGTGAAGCGGCATGTGAGCGTTAACCAGGGTGAAGCGGCATGTGAGCGTTAACCAGGGTGAAGCGGCATGTGAGCGTTAAACAGGATGAAGCGGCATGTGAGCGTTAAC